CTCTCTCTCTCTCTCTCTCTCTCTCTCTCTCTCTCTCTCTCTCACACACACACACACACACACACACACTATTATATTTATTTGTGTGGTTGTACATATAATCACAAGAAACAAAAATGAAATAACATATTGCGACATATTTGTAGTATTTGTAAACAATCCACATCAGCAATTTTTATTAAAAAATTTGCCACACGAGACAGCTCTGTTAATGAGCAAAAGTGGGATAATGGTCGAGTATCGACTTTGTCAATTTTTGTAAAGTTCAAGGAATTAAAATTGAAAGTCACTACAGGTGAAGTTACTAAACCTGAAATTTCACCCTACTTCGACTATTCAAGACGAAACTTATCAAGGTATCGATAATGAAAGACGACAGAATAACAAACAACAACAAACATGGCATATTGGATAGTCACTACTATCTTGCGCAAGTCAAAGCTTGTACAGAGACAATATTTCAAAAATAGTTATCATGAAAACCCATAAAAAGGCAAAAGTTAGCAAATACCTGAGAATACAAGAAAGTTCCAAGAATCGCAATAGCAGCTCCAAGAGCATTAACAGGTTGTACGGGTGTCCGGAAGATAATGATAGACGAGACAATGACTGAAATACGTTTCATAGTGTTTCCTATGCTAAATGTCAAAGGAGAAATCTCGTCCAGTGACATGTACGACGCTTGATTGTATAGGTGGTAAAATACACTCTGGGCTGCCATCCACCTAAGTGCAATATCAGCCACACAAAAAATATAATCAGAAGGCAACAAAACAAAAATGCACAGAAAGATAAAAGTAGATGAAAAGCCCAGATTTTGAGAACAAAAAATTGCGACTATTCTAAATAACTAATATTTAAGGAAAACTTCAAATCTTGTAGGATATATCATAACAGCTCCCACATAAAATAAATCACAGGTTCACACAACTGTCAAATTGGGTGCATCCCGACAACCATGAGTCTAGGATTTTGCTAAGAAAGGTCAATATGGCAACATGTACCTATGTTGGTTCATACGAATGGATATGAAAATCTGTTGCAGAACAAAACACACAAGCCAGTTACAGGACAAAAGAGAAATGAGGATAGTCTGGTAATTACCAAACAATCTGGGGTCCAATATGAGACAGGGCTTCTTTAAACCCTGCTGCCCACAGCTGTGGTCCCTCGACAGCAATTGCAAAAGGAGTGAGAATTAAGAGAGACATGATGGATAAGCAGGCGTAATAGTTCATTCCGCTGAC